CATTGTTTGTGATCCATTGAAAATAAATAAACTATAATACAGTAACAAATAAATAAAATAAACAGATTGGACTGGAATCCCATTCCTGCCCACTCTGGGGAACACCATTCCTGCCCATTCCGGGGAAGACCATTCTGGGGAACATTCCGGTGTACATTCTGGAATCCACCGGAATTCCACCGGAATGGAACACACCGGAATAAACAATTTAGCAGGGCCTTCTGCTAAATTCCATTCCACCGGAATCCACCGGAATTCCACCGGAATGACTGGATTCCTGCAGGAATAGGGGGGGCACTGATAAGACCTCGGGAGTGGGGGAGAGTGATGGAGGGGGGAGGGGGGGGGGGAAGGGACAAGGAATATGGGATTGACAAGGAAGGGGGAGGGGGAGGGAAAAGGAAGGGGGAGGGAAAAGGAAGGGGGAGAGAAAAGGAAGGGGGAGGGAAAAGGAAGGGGGAGGGAAAAGGAAGGGGGAGGGAAAAGGAAGGGGGAGAGAAAGGGGAGGGGAGATGGACAAGGAAGGGGGAGAGAAAGGGGGGGGACAGGGAAGGGGGGAAAAGGGAGGGAAGGAAGGCTCGACGATGTGGGCACGCATCGTTGTTGTGTTGCATTGTCATCGTGGTGTTGCATTGCCGTTGTTGTGTTGCGTTGTTGTTGTTGTGTTGCATCGCCATTGTGTTGCGTTGTCGTGGTGTCGTTGTATGCACTCATTGTCGTCTTCGCCAATGGGGTGGGCACTTGTCGTTGTCATGTCGTAACGTGGTGTGGTGTTTGTCAACGGGCGCTCATCGTCGTGAGCGCCCGTCCTGTCATGGTGGTTGTTAACGAGACATGTTGGGATGGGGCACTCACCTTGTTGCCACATCGCTGTCAGCGATGTGGCACCTTGGTTTCCCATCATCAGGGGCACGTCCTCGTCCATGGTCATGGCCATCTGTTGACGTGGCCATCCTCCGTTGACGTGGTTGTCATCCATTGGCATGTAGTCGTCATCCTTGTCGTCCGTTGACGTGGTTGTCGTCCTGCTGACGTGTCATCATCCTCGTCATCTGTCGTCGTCCATCGTCGTCCTTGGTGGGTGGTGATGGCGATGGCAACTAGTGTTTGAAAGTCCGGTTAGGTTAGGTTATTGGGTGCCCAGGGGCTCTAACCGAGACCGAGACCGGTTAGGGTTCATTCCCAGACCCAAAATAACCTAACTGGACCGAAGATAACCGATGAAAACCGGTTAGTTGCAGTTACTAACCGGTTAGGACCGAAAAAATAGAAAATCGATTAAAACGGCGTATATTTCTCATATTCCTTGCAGTAAACATTATTGCCATGCGTCGTAGCTTTAAAACAAGCCCAAGAACGCTAAATTCGGCGAAGAATTGACAATTTTATAATAATATTCTTGAAAGCCTACTATTTTAGCCAATAATTTAGAGATTTGACCATAACTCTGTCAGATTTTTAGCGTTTCTCATGCTTTTAGATGCGTTTTGAAGGGGTATAATAGGGTCAGTTGTAACCGGTCATAACCGGTTTTTTAACAGTTAGTTAACTGCAAAATAACCGGTTATTTCATTTCCAGAATTGACTAACCACTAACCGTGGTCCGGTTTTTTTGCGGTTAGGTCCGGTCTGGTCTCGGTTATTTTCCAGTTAATTAACCTAACTTCCAAGCACTACCAGCGACAGTTGTGGCTGGTGGTGGCCGTTGGCGAGGGTTGTGACATGGTGTGCCCAGTTGTTGTTGACGACGATGGTGGTGGTGGTTAGAAGACAAACATTGTGGATTGTCTGATGATGCGAAATCGAGCCTTGGCGTTTGCCGAGACTCGATTTGGGCATGGGTATATTAATGTTTATTAATATTATTGATTAGTAATATGTATTCCGGACATTGCATTCCAGTTGCATTCCTTTTTGTCCATTCCAGGGACCATTCCGGCTACTAATCAGGAATGACATCATTCCTGAGGAATATTTGTCCCCCAGAATGCCATTTTGGCTGGTGTCTCCAAGGGTCAAACAACCGAGCATCCGCTGAGATCAACCATACCCATGACCCCCGTGAGAGTTATCACGTGTCGACCCATTTGGTTGTCACGTCTCGACTCCTGCAGTCAACGTGCCTTGAACGTGCCTGGTGCATGCTCAACAGCAGACCCTCATTAGACCCTTGTTGAACATAAAAAAGCAGCAGCCGTTACATTGAGTACCTCAGAGAGAGACGAAATATTATTGTTCCGCACCCCCTTGTCCCCTCACTGGCAACCTGAACAAGTGATTTTTCAGTCTAGGCTACAATGACCAAAGCACATACAGATACTCCTCTGGAAGTCCCAAAGTGTATCAGACTACCTGGAGCTCCGGAGGTCACAACTGTTATTGATGGGACTGGAAAGCATCATGCTCAGTGCCATCTATGTGGATTTGATGTTACTTTGACAATTACAGCCAATCCCCACTCATTCCAGAGACACCGAGGTGGCAAGGCCTGCCTAAAACTTCGCAGAAGTCAAGGGCTCCCTGATACAGAGCCTATGACATGGCCTACCACACAAATTTTAGTAGTGTCACCAACTGGTCCATCTAAACAATTATCAAAAATTCCCTGTCCCGGTCTAGCAAGGATATAAAGAGAGAGAGAGCTCCAACGGTAAGTGTTGTAGAGCCTGCTGGAGAGAGGAGACGGAAGTAAAGCTGCGACCAGATTACAGGATAAGATCAGTGTGACCGAACGTGACAAAGGGTGCTCATGTCATAATTCGCACGGGGGTCATGGGTATGGTTGATCTCACCGGATGCTCGGTCGTTTGGCCCTTGGGTGTCTCTGCCAAATTTGATTCCTCTGGATTCCACTGGATTCTGCAGGAATGACCGGAATCTGGCAGGAATCAGTGGGGCATGATAAAGACCTCCTACCAAGCACTCATCCACCAAGCACTCATCCACAAGGCTCTTTTGGGACTCAGACAACAATGTGGAAGAGAATCCCGTAGCACCCCTGTCACCAATGCCTACTGCCGGACCTAGCAAGAAGGCTAAATTAGATCCAGATGCACCAGTTGCCTCGACATCCAGGAACCTGAAATCTGGAGTTGCTTACAAGACCTGCCCGATAATGCAACCACAGGAGAGCCAACCTCTTGGCTTCCTGGGAGGAGATGACTTTGATGACTTGGAGTATCTCATCCAGGATCGTTGGATCATCAAGAATACGACAAAGTTGTTTGAGTAGATGGTAGCCTTATCCTCGATAGAAGTTACTATAAGTATCACTTGAGGGGACTCGCCAATTAGAAAATGCAAAGTGGAGAACGAACCTTTTGTTAGTCAAATTATGCCTTCATTGCTTGAGAAGAGCTGAACAGAATTGTGCAAGGTAGGAGGACGAGACTGAGACAGGATCCAAAGTTCGAACACATTCAATGGAGTCAGACACACCAAACAAAGCAAGCTTGACTCGTGGTAACGTATTGAACTATGTTCTATGATATCCAATGCGGCTATGGTGTAACGGTCTAATGGGCTGCATTCTGAGTATAACATGTGGTGTGCCTGCTTCCGGAAGCCACAAGTTCAATCCTATGTCAAGCCCAAATTTTTCAAAAGGTTCAATACCTCAAGCCCATTTGAACAAAGTCTATGTACTTTTTTAGCCCTCACTTTCTTAAGAAATTATAAGGAACGCAAAGGAAAGTACTACCAAAAGGCTTACACCATATCTAACATGCCTTCTTTTTTTCTGCTCGTGTTTTTTTTTCTTGCTCATGCAAAGTGTTTTTTTTTTTTCACGTCGATTTATTTACAACTTCTAACAGCATACTAAATTCAATTCCTGGTCCTATCAAAAAGTCTGTGTGGTGCTTGTGAAACTCACAAAGTACATCACTACATATCTGGTTTGATGCTGCAGGTCTCTTGCATCAGCAAACCTACAGTTTGCTTGTGGACTTTTTGCGACTTTTTGCGGCTGACAGCTTGTTGACAAGTCACAAGCTGAAAAAAGCTTGCAAGTCGACAAGTCACTTGCTATCTCAGAACAAAAGTAGAATTACATATCTTATAATAACTATATTTACTCGTGTAGGAATTCATGCATGTGATGGTCAGCATACCAATTAACGAAGTAAGTGCGAAAGGCATCCAATGATTGAGAGAAATGGAAATCCTCTGGAAGAGGAGAAGAACCAAATATCGGAAGGAGATGGGCTGCACGTGCAATGGAATCCAACGAAACCACTTGTAGACTACAGTGACCATTTCTTTCAAACTCAGGCTGTACCACCCACAAGCCTGTCTCTGCATCAGGGCTATCACTGACAGGAACTAGCCAGTGAATCAGAGCGCATGAGTGGTGACAACTTTCAAAGTTGAATGAAAAGAAAAGAATAACACGCCCAATAATCATGCCCTGCATGCCAGGGAGCTCTGGATTGGTCTCTACAAACACAGTATCATATCGTGCGTATTCACCATGCCAATTGGGGTTGGAGTGGATAAGTTCATGGTACATCCCGCCTGCACCACAAAGATTGCTTGGTGCATAAAAGTGAGCGATGGCCGAATGGAAAACAGAGATGCGGCCATAGAAATTTGGACAATCGTTGAGAGGGACTTGACTCAAGGACAAAAGTGAATCAGAATTCACTATCTCCCACAGAAATCGTCGGAATGCACCAGGAAGATGCGGTTGGCCAATGTGGGTTGCGAGATCCACCAAGGAACTGGGGTATGAATGTTCTGCAAGAAATTTGTACTCAACCAACCTGAAAACTTGAGAGAGGGAAAAGAGGGACATACGGGGAGAATGAGCAAGATCGATCGAAGAAAGAACCTTGGGGCCCAATACAGGTCCTAAATCATCATTCTCGTCATTTTCATCATCCAGATCCAAAGCGAGTGGCTCTGGGGCACCCCCAGCATCAATCATCTCCATATACGACAGCGTGGACCCTTTCATCATCCCCTTTGATGTGAACATCGACCGTGCCGCGGCCATCTTGTCAAGCTGTGAGATTGTCCAAAGCATCTGAATCAAAGTGTTGTATCGACTGGAACGACGCCAGGGTTCTTTGACGGCTTTGATGTGCTTGGATTCTGTGATTGATGAGCATAGCCCATTTGGTGACCCAAACAAGCACATTGATCGCGCGTAGTGGACAAGGGGGTGCTGACGTGGAAGCGAGATGTCTACCCAAACTCCGGTATCAATGAAAACTTGTCGAAGGAGGTGAAAGTGTTCGAGAGATGCCTCAAGTTCTTGGAGACCCTCATATGTGATGGCGTTATGTCGTGCAATGTAACAGAAGTCTAGAAAAGCGGATAAGCATTGCACCATCTTGGTAGGTACATAGCCTGTGATTGCAGCGAGGTAGACCTTGAGGTGAATGTAAATATTAAGTAGAGTAAGTAATCTGATATCATGCACCTTCATCAAAGCTTTTGAGTCATCACCAGTCCATTGATTGAAGTCGCGACCATCAGGGAATCGGCGGAGGCCAGGGAATGGTGGCACCACTGAGATACTGTCGCTACAATGTAAGTATGTTGGAGTGAATCAAAGGTTCTATCATGCTTACCACCAGTCAATGTCCTGAATAATCTCCTGCGCTCTTGCTTCTTCATGTTCAAGGTGTAAGTATTCATTGACCCATGTCACAAGATGGTCCTTGAACGTGCCCTTGATGACTTGATGTAGTAGATCTGGGGAGAGGAGTTCATGAATGTTGGTGCAAGGAAAATCATGAGTGAATGGCTATGAGAGTTTTGAGTGATTAAATGAGGAACAGGATAAGCAGTAGCCTCACCACAATGTCACTGTGGATTCCGAAATCATCCCACAAGATCCCAGGGTCAAATACTGATATGAAATAGTCGGTCTTTTGTTGTGTTCGCCGTAGTCCACCAGTAGTCCCAGTACTGTCAAGCCGCGTTGGGTGTGCGTCGCATCTATATGGTATTAGAAAGTTCATCATAATCAGACTAAATTTATGTCTCACTCACTTTGGACACCAATTCTGAACAATATCTGCCAGCCAGACTTGTTCCGGGTAGTCAGCAATGTATGGACCAAGCCCATAGATAACTCGTTGAAAATGCCCATCAGGACATCTCACAACCTTGGGAGTTGTCATGCCAGCTTTAAGTGGCTCGAATACAAGTGTGAGGCAGCTGTGGTATAACTGTCATACAAATTTTTGATACAAAGGATTGCACTGTTGCCTCTTGCTTGCTAGATATTTTGTCAATGGGTTGTATGGGAGCACGTTGGTGGAACTTACTTTTGGGTATAGGAAGAAACACATTAGGCAAAACACCTAATCCATGGCCACAACGTGCTGGGTTGGTGAGATTGCCAGGTGATTGATAGGGTGATACTCTTGATGACCAGTCACTACCGAAACGGTTGTCTTGTCACTTCCAGAGATTACAGGCACAAACATGACGTTGTGGTTACTTGGATCCTGAGCGATGAGGTCCTGAAATGTTGTCTTGTCTCTGTCCAGAATAATGTGAAAACAGAATGAGACGCACTGCCTGCTTCCATGCCCAATCCGCGGACATGAGATTGGACCACACTTGACTACCTTTCTCATTGAACTGCTGGTATGGGACATAATTGAAGTTGCCATTGAAGTCGGTTGCCGAAAGCTGGTGGTGAAGGAGTGCACGTGAATCACGAGTACAAAGCTCGTATGTTTCGGTCATCCATTTTGGTGGCAAGTAGTGTTTAAAGGTTCAGTTCAGTCTGGTTTTTTGCCCCGAAAATGCGCAACCGTGGACCGCAACTGGTCCAGGACCGACCCAGATATTGAGGGAACCGAACCGAACCACCTAGGACCAGTCTTTTGCGGTCCATGATACCGGTTCAGACCGATCCAGACCGGTTTTTTTGCGTATAATTTATTATACCAATATAAACCATTTGTATCTCAACCATTATTACTCTGAAAAATAAACGGGTTATATAAAATAGTAAAGCATATAAATACCCATCATTCTACCAATTTTCAAGAGATTTAATGAAGATTTGACATAGCTATGACTGAAACCGAATTACATCTCATAGAGACTCAGGTAAAATATGGATTTGGTTATATCTTTCTCAATTCTTAACCGTTTTTGATGAAACAAAAACCCAATAAAAGGCAATAAACGTGGTTACAAGGCTATGTAACGCACGTAACCGTTTAACCGGTTGCAACCGATTAAAACCGGTCTTTGAACGGTTTTAAAAGATTTTCGAAATGAGGCAACCGGCAACCGGACCAACCCCAAATTGGGGCAACTGCAACCGAAAAAAAGACCGGACCATGGTCTGGTTCAGTTCGGTCCACTGGTTTTTTGTGGTCCTATGGACTGAACCTTTAAACACTAGCGGCAAGCCGGTGGCAGGGAGTGGACCTCCATAGCGGACTTCGTAGACCTTCCATTGGGTGGATCCCTCTTGTATAGAATCAATGGTCGCGTAAAGCTTGTCAGCATTCTTCCACTGTGGAGCCTCGTCATGTTTGTGCAAACTCGCTGCCCAGATTTCAAGAGCCTTATTTATTGACCTCTTGGAGCTTTGCATCTCAACAAAATGAAGGTCGGCGAAGTTGAAGGCAGCGCGGTCTTTGAACGGAGCCCAAGAAAAATTATCCTGCACATCATTTTGGGGGGGCGGTGGAGATGGCGGAGCATGGGGTGGAAGTGGAACCCTGTTTTCATCACAGGGCTGAGCTGTAGGATAAGTCAGTAGCAGAAACATGCCAGAATAATGTTGCTTACCAGTCAAAACAGGGTGTTGGAAATACGTGTAAGAGGTATCATTTTCAGATCCATCGTCAGAGGGTGGTGTGATATTACGGTGGTGTGCATTGCGGTGTTGTGTTAGACCACTTGGATTGTGGAATTTTCAAGTACAGTCACTGCATGAGTACGAAGGCATCTGAGGGTTGGACAATATGTACAAGAGGGGAAGGAACAAAACAGGGGACTTCACCAAAAAAAAAAAAAAAAAAAAAGGGTGGTTTGATTTGCTCAGGAGTTGGTAACCAAGACACATGAATATGCATGTGGTGCATGCATTCAGGGGATCCCCCTCACTTTGACCACCCACCATGTTCTTTACTTTCTCTCCCTCCCTATGCAAAGGTGTTCCCAAACCACAAAAGCAGCTAAGCCAGTCAACATCAAGGCAGTCAACGCGGAATAGACCAAACAGCCTCGCGATGATGCATCAGAATGTCAACCTGCTCCCAACAGCTCTGCATTGAAAAAGGCAAAGGTTGCCAATGCAGTGCAAGAAGATCCTCCCCCAGCACTGGGGAACACAACTGATGACAACATCCCTGTCATTCCCAAATGTAAATCCAAGGTGGTGGCCCCACGCAACCCACTTCCAGATCGGTCAAACTGCGTTGTCAACCCAGGGGCAATCAACAAACCTCGCCCAAGGCGAACTTCCAGGCAGGTGGTAGACGACAAAACTCGAAAGGAACAAATGATGCAGCATTTAGCAGAGATTGAACAAGAGAAACTCGAGCTCGCCACTCAGTTGGAACTTGACGAGGAGGAAGAGGCAGCAGAAGAGCGCTGCACCTCATTTTCTTGCTTGGCTGACCAGTTTGACAAGGACCCTATCAATGAAAATGAGGAGTTCTTCATGGTAGATGACTTTGCTGTTGAGGATGCACCTATGGATGTCGATGAGGAATTGGTAACAGACGTAGTTGAGCAAGAGGCTGCCAATTCATCTGCGAAAGCAACCAAAGTGAGTTCCTTGTTTTGAACATCATTCTAAACTCACCCAATGTTAGGTAGCAAAGAAAAAGAAAGAGAAGGGTGATACGAGAGCAGCAGTGGATGCGGTAAAGGAGAAGAAGAAGGCTAATACTGTGAAGAGGTTAGGCACTCCTTCACCATGTTGCTTCAGGGCAGTTAGTAGGAATCACCCAGCTACACTGAGAGCCCCGACAATACAAACAGGCCATAGTTGATGGGGCCTGCTGATGGGCCAATGAGGGCCAATAACCCTGTGTTGATGAATTGGCTGATGTGATCCCAGTATCAAGGTGAAGAAGGGTCGGCCAGCTACATAGATTTATCATAAACCGATCAGTAGGAGGAAGCTGTGCTGGGAAGTCAAGTCCCTGTATTTGTGTATCGGCTGATAGCTAACCAATGCAAGGTCGGCTGACAGTTTTTTGGCTGATGAAAGATAGCTAAGCTATGCAAGGCCGGCTGACAGTTTTAAACATTGCTGGGTAGGTGATCGGCCGAGGGGGCAGCTAAGCCATGCAAGATTGGCTGACAGTTCTGAACATTGCTGGGTAGGTGATCGGCCGAGGGGGCAGCTAAGCCATGCAAGGTCGGCTGACAGTTTGAACAATGCTGGGTAGGTGATCGGCCGAGGGCCATCACTTCTGATTAGCAGCTAGGCTATGCAAGGTCGGCTGATATTTCGACTGTGGCCTGGGTTGGTGGTCGGCCGAGGGCCCTCGACTCTGGTTACCAGGGTCAGCTGGTCAGATGTAGATATCACAGAGTCGGCCGTGGACAAAAATGTATGAACATGGTCAGCCGAGGCTTCACTGAGGCCAGCTTCTCAGTTGGGCCTTTAAGTTAGCAGCTGAGCAGAGGCAGACCGGGCAGAACTTACCTCCATAGTTCAAATTTTCAACTTGATCCATAGTAAATATAAAAAACAAGAGCTGCGATCGCTGCAAGTGACTTCTGGGATTCGAACCCAGGGCATACATACATGACGTACACCTCCCAGCATAACCACTAAGCCAAGCCAACGTTGGAAGACAATGTCGGCCAGTATCTTTTACCTGCCTGCAATTTGAACCCAGGCGTCCAAGCTCGGCACTTGGTAAGTCACCGTTCTCGGCATACGACAACACATTGGTGAAGTACTTTGGCTGGTGCCGAGGCCGGGTGGAAAATAACCGAGCAGACAAGTGAATTAAATCGGTAAAAGTGCCCAGGCTGCGTCTCAGGTAATAGAGCTGATTTAATAGTAAATTGTTGAAGTACTTTAGCTGGTGCCAAGGCCAGGTGGAATATAACCGAGAAGACAAGTGAATTAAATCAGTAAGAGTGGCCGGGCTGCATCTCGGATAATAGAGCTGATTTAATATTAAATTGGTGAAGTACTTTGGCTGGTGCCGAGGCTGGGTGAAAAATAACCGAGCAGACAAGTGAATTAAATCGGTAAAAGTGCCCGGGCTGCGTCTCAGGTAATAGAGCCGATTTAATATTAAATTGTTTGAAGTGCTTTAAGTGGTGCTGAGGCCGAGTGGAAAATAACCGAGCAGACAAGTGAATTAATTCAGCAAAAGTGCCCGGGCTGCATCTCGGATAATAGAGCCGATTTACTATTAAATTGTTGAAGTACTTTGGCTGGTGCCAAGGCCAGGTGGAATATAACCGAGCAGACAAGTGAATTAAATCAGTAAGAGTGGCCGGGCTGCATCTCGGATAATAGAGCTGATTTAATATTAAATTGGTGAAGTACTTTGGCTGGTGCCGAGGCTGGGTGAAAAATAACCGAGCAGACAAGTGAATTAAATCGGTAAAAGTGCCCGGGCTGCGTCTCAGGTAATAGAGCCGATTTAATAGTAAATTGTTGAAGTACTTTAGCTGGTGCCGAGGCCGGGTGGAAAATAACCGAGCAGACAAGTGAATTAAATTGGTAAAAGTGCCCGGGCTGCGTCTCAGGTAATAGAGCCGATTTAATAGTAATTAGCTGGTGCCGAGGCCGGGTAAAAAATAACCGAGCAGACAAGTGAATTAAATTGGTAAGTACTTTGGCTGGGTGGAAAACAACTAAGCAGACAAGTGAATTAAATTGGCAGAAGTGCCCAAGCTGCGTCTCGGATAATAGAGCCAATTTAATATTAAATTGGTGAAGTACTTTGGCTGGTGCTGAGACCGGGTGGAAAATAACCGAGCAGACAAGTGAATTAAATTGGTAAGTACTTTGGCTGGGTGGAAAACAACTAAGCAGACAAGTGAATTAAATTGGCAGAAGTGCCCAAGCTGCGTCTCGGATAATAGAGCCAATTTAATATTAAATTGGTGAAGTACTTTGGCTGGTGCTGAGACCGGGTGGAAAATAACCGAGCAGACAAGTGAATTAAATCGGTAACAATGCCTGGGCTGCATCTCGGATAATAGAGCCGATTTAATATTAAATTGTTGAAAGTACTGTAACTGGTGCCGAGGCCGGGTAAAATATAACTGAGCAGACAAATTAATTAAATCGGTAACATTTCCCAGGCTGTGTCTCGCATAATAGAACCTGTTCAATATCAAATTATTGAAGTACTTTGGCTGGGTGGAAAACAACCGAGCAGACAAGTGAATTAAATCAGTAAAAGCGCCCAGGCTGCATGTCGGATAATAGAGCCGATTTGATATTAAATTGGTGAAGTACTTTGGCTGGTGCCGAGGCCAGGTGAAGAATAACCAAGCAGACAAGTGAATTAAACCGTTAAAAGTGCCCAGGCTGCACATCGGATAATAGAGCCAATTTAATATTGAATTGTTGAGGTACCTTGGCTGGTGCCGAGGCTGGGTGGAAAATAACCAAGCAGACAGGTGAATTAAATTGGTAAAAGTGCCTGGGCTGCACATCGGGTGACAGATATTAAATTGTTGTACTTTGGCTGGTCCGAGGCCGCGTAAAAAATAACATAGCAGAGAAGTGAATTGAATCGGGCATGGGTTGCATCTCGGATAATAGAGTCAATCTAACATTAAATTGTTGAAGTTCCTTAGCTGGTGCCATGTCTCGGTGCGAAGTCACCAGTCAAGATGCCCAGGCTGCTGCTTGTGATTAGATATCAAATTGCTATGCCATGTCTGGATGCAAAATAACCAAGAAAATGGGTGAATTGAATCGGTAAAAATAACTGAGCTGCATCTCGGGTGATACAGCTGATTTAATATTGATTTGTTGCAGTCCTTTAGCTGGTGCCATGGCTGGGTGCAAAATGACTAAGCAGACAAGTGAATTAAATTGGTAGAAATGCCCAGGTTGCACATCGGATAATAGAACCGATTTGATATTCAATTGGTGAAGTCCTTCAGCTAATGCCATGTCCGGCTGCAAAGTTGTAAGTGAATGGATTCTCCCGCCATCCCACCATCCCACCATCCTATCATCCCGCCATCCCGCCATCCCGCCATCCCATCATCCTACCATCCTTCCATCCTTCCATCCTTCCATCCTGCCCTCCTGTCATCAGCATTATATCTTGACCATTACTGGGCCACTTCTCTCCAAAAACCCTGCTAATTATATCTTGATGTAGTCTATGACATACTCAAAACAAGAACGTATAGTAGTGTAGTTGACATGCATCTCCCTCAATGTTCCCCATGGTATGTATACCTTTACTGTAGTCTCCCCAAAGCAGAAAGAATACAGTGTATATTATATATGCTTAATTTGTGGTAGCTCAGAATAGCCATTTGGGGTTCTGAGTATCTGTATTGCACAAAATGCCCAGAAGACATATAAATCCCATGGGAGTTCCAGAGGAATATGTTCAATTATTATTTGCAAGACATGAAGATATAAGGTTCTAATTGGAGAACTTACCTGGTAAATGGTGCATGGAGAGGAGGGAGGAATACATTGTATCCATTCGTTACATCACCACAGTTTCACCAATGAGAGTCAAAAGTGGGTTGGAGGTAGGGATGGGATAGCTAGAAAGAAGTTTAAAAGGAATTACAGAGATTGACAAGACAAGATAATGATTTCAGAAGATTATATATGGAGCAGGACAATGGTACGTGGATAGTCACTAACATTCTAGCCATATCTCTGTATCCACCAGTACACATATTCAAAACATCCTGCCTTCCTTACCTGATCAATACTCTTTGAACAACCTACTAGCTACCCCAGCCTTAAGTGAACCCCACACCATATATAATAAACACCACCAAGATATGATTAGGAACTTGTTTGGAGAGAAATAGTCCAGTAACAGTGGAAATACTATACTCATGACTGGTGGGCAGAATGGGGGCGGGATTACACCTATTGGAGAAACTAGTGCCTGATTTAGTAATTGTCGGTCAACAATGATGGCATTGAGAGGGGGCACCAGGCAGATGGTGTGAAAGTTATAACTAACTTGTCTCTTTGGCATTGGTGTATGAATGGCTCCGAGCTCGGGGAACAACTCTCATGAGTTGTGTTATCTTGTCTGCTCGGTAATATTACACCCAGACTGAAATGATACGGATGCAACCCAGGCATGTTCAGTGATATACTTCACTTGTAGGCTCGGTATTGGTCCACTTGAACAAAGCATGGTTGAAGTACTTCCGGGCATTTTTACCAATTGAATCCACTCAGTTGTGGCTTTGCAGCCGGGCATGGGGGTGGCTGAAGGACTTTAATATTTAATCACTAGCATTACCTGGGGTGAGGCCTGGGCATTTTTGCTAATCTGGTTCACTTGTCTGCTTGGTGATTATGCATCTGGACATGGCAGCAGCTGAAATACTTGGACAGTTTAATATGAAATCGGTTCTGTCATCCAAGATGCAGCCCGGGCATTTTTACCGATTTAATGCACTTGTCTGCTCCATGATTTTGCACCCGGACCAACTAAGGTAATTCAACAATTTAATATGAAATTACCAGCATCACCTGACATGCAGCCCAAGCGTTTTTACCAATTTGGTTTATTTGTCTGCTCTGTGATCTCACATCTGGACACGGCACCAGTTAAAGTACTTCACCAATTTAATATTAAATCGGCTCTATTACCCGAGACGCAGCCCGGGCACTTTTACCAATGTAATTGACTTGTCTGCTTGGTTATTTTCCACCCAGCCTCGGCACCAGCCAAAGTACTTCACCAATTTAATATTGAATCGGCTCTATTATTTGACATGCAGCCTGGGCACTTTTATCGATTTAATTCACTTGTCTGCTCGGTTATTTTTCACCCGGCCTCGGCACCAGCCAAAGTACTTCACCAATTTAATATCAAATCAGCTCTATTATCCAAGATGCAGCCCAGGCACTTTTACCGATTTAATTCACTTGTCTGCTCGGTTATTTTCCACCCAGCCTCGGCACCAGCCAAAGTACTTCACCAATTTAATATCAAATCGGCTCTATTATCCAAGATGCAGCCCAGGCACTTTTACTGATTTAATTCACTTGTCTGCTCGGTTATTTTTCACCCGGCCTCGGCACCAGCCAAAGTACTTCACCAATTTAATATTAAATTGGCTCTATTATCCAAGACGTAGCCTGGGCACTTTTGCTGATTTAATTCACTTGTCTGCTCGGTTGTTTTCCACCCAGCCAAAGTACTTATCAATTTAATTCACTTGTCTGCTCGGTTATTTTTTACCCGGCCTCGGCACTGGCTAAAGTACTTCAACAATTTACTATTAAATTGGCTCTATTACCTGAGACGCAGCCCGGGCACTTTTACCGATTTAATTCACTTGTCTGCTCGGTTATTTTTCACCCGGCCTTGGCACCAGCCAAAGTACTTCAACAATTTAATAGTAAATCGGCTCTATTATCCGAGACTCAGCCCGGGCACTTTTGCCGATTTAATTCACTTATCTGCTCGGTTATTTTCCACTCGGCCTTGGCACCAGCCAAAGTACTTCACCAATTTAATATTGGATCGGCTATATTATCCGAGACATAACCTGGGCACTTTTACTGATTTAATTCACTTGTCTGCTCAGTTATTTTCCACCCAGCCTTGGCACAAGCCAAAGTACTTCAACAATTTAATATTAAACATGTTCTATTATGCAAGATGCAGCCTGGGCAATGTTATTGATTTAATTCACTTGTCTGCTCGGTTGTTTTCCCAGCCCTTTGAAAGTACTTCAACAATTTAATATCACCTGATGTGCAGCCCAGGCATTTTTACCAATTTCATTCACTTGTTTGCTCGATTATTTTGCATCCGGACATGGCACCAGCCAACGTACTTCAACAGTTTGGGATTTAAATGCCTGCATCACCCGATGTGCACCTTTACTGATGTAATTCATGTCTGCTTGGTGTAATTTCACCCGGACATGGTGCCAGCTCACACATCCTTTCCCTGAAAAATGCACTGGCCCAGACACAATGATTTAATATGGAATCGGCTCAATCACTCAAGGTGAAACCCGGGTATTTGTACTATTTCCCACTTGTCGGCTCCATTATTTTGCATTTGAACATGTTTGATTGGCTGTTTCCATGCATTTATACAGATTCAATGACCTTGTCTGCTCAGTAACTTTGCACCAGAATACAGGACCAGCTAATGTACTCACTGGCCTGATGCAAACATAAAACCAGAGGGTGATTTTGAATGCAGGACATGGCAAAGAACACTGGGGGGTTGGTACAACATATGAACAAGTAAACTTAGTTAGGCCATGTGTTAGCCAGGCTGGCTATCATCATGGGACAGATGGCAACATAAATTGTTTAATTGGAGACAAGCCAAAGAATGGTAGGGAGTGTGGTGCCGACTGGGCCAGGCCATATCCAGGCTGGAGATGGCAACAGATGGGGGCCGGCCTCATCTCTGCTCGGGGCTCAGAATGAGATTCATGACCTTGGGTATGTAAACTGACTTTGCCGAGCCAGGGTGCGGCAAGTGGGCTGATCCATATTGTGAGGAATCAAAAGCTGTTCAGCTGACCCACAATCCAAGGCAATTTCAGCAGGGTCAATTCATCATTAGGCTGGTCGGCCGGCACACAGAACCACTCCTCAAGAAGATATGGGTGGCCGAGCCAGCTTTGATGGGGTCAACATATACATCGGCTCATCAGCAGGCACCATCAACCATGGCCTGTTTGTATGGTCAGGGGGCTCAGTGTTGTTGGGGTAAGGTCACTAATACTTGTGGTTGCTTATCAATCGTTCATGTGACTATCAACAGTGATAATTCTGGGACATGCAAACTCACTGGCTTGGTTCCAGATTGGCAGACAAAGGCCTCTATCCTTGCCTCAGCCAAAGGTCCTTGTTCAAAGACTGCCTCCCACTCAAAACCAATGACGAACGAAGCTTCCAACGCGAATCTTTTCGACTTTGGGGGTCTGGATGATGACGACACCGACGTGATGCAGCCATCTCTGGCTGGCAGTACTTTACAGTGCCCCACCTATTCCTGCAGGAATTCAGTCATTCCAGTGGAATTCCAGAGGAATCCAGAGGAATCTGCAGGAATTCCACAGGAATCCAATGGAATTACACTGGATTCCTCTGAACTCATGTAAATTTACCAGTACATGTCCTGATCAGCTAAAGTCATGTGACTTAATAACCAACTTAATACTCAGAATAAATTTGAAGTCAACAAACCAACTTATAATGTATTTAAAATGACATAAAACATATATTATTATATACTGCTATACACAATCTATGTATATTTAAAGAAGGAGAGGTACAAGGAAAGGGGGTAAGGACAAGGGGAGCAGGCTATGGAGAAGGAAAGGGGCAGGGAGAAGGAAAGGGGTGGAAGGGGTAGAGAGTATGAG